CGCAACCTGCCCTGGGGTTTGCATGTTCTCCCTGTGCCTGCGTGGGTTTTCTCCTCCCACACTCCAGAGACATGCTATAATTTACATACTGGCCCAGTATCGGTGAGTCGGGGGCGGTAGATTGTCAGCTCCTGGGGGCAGGACTGATGGGGAATGGACAATATATTATGTAGTTTGTCAGTGATGAGGTCAGTCCTGGCGCTGGTCTCTCCTATCAGGGGATCCACACCGCTCTCCTCCACTAGGGGTCTCTATAAAGTTCCCCCCTCCCCCGGTGGTAGGAGACATCCATGATTTCCGGCTCTGTCATAGTCAACAATCCCCCAACTACATCCCATCATCCATCACACTCCCCCCACCGTTCCCATCATCCATCACTTCATTCTCCCCTCCCATCATCCATCACACTCCCCCCCTCACCATCACTCTCTCCCATCATTCATCACACTCCCCACTTTCCATCATCCATCACTCTCCCCCATCATTCATTCACACTCCACCTTCCATCATTTCCATCACTCTCCCCTCCCAATCATCCATCACTCTCCCATCATTCATCACACCTCCCCCTTCCCAATCATCCATCACTCTCCCCTCCCATCATACCATCTTCTCCCATCATTCATCACACTTCCCCCTAATCCCATCATCCATCACTCCCCCCTCCAGCATTACTCCCCCCTTCCATCATCCATCACTCATTCCCTCCCTTCCCATCATCCATCACTTCTCCCCTCCCATCATTCATCACACTCCAGCGCCCCCTTCCCATCATCCATCCACTCTCCCCTCCCAGCATACTCCCCCCTTCCCATCATCCACATCACTCTCCCCCCTTCCCATCATCCATCACTCTCCCCCTCCCATCATTCATCACACCCCCCCGATTCCATCATCCTTCACGCTCCCCTCCCATCATCCATCACACTCCCCCTTTCCCCTCATTCGCCGTTCCTCCCACCATCCGTGGCTCCTCCCATCACTCTTTGACCACCCACTGGTTGTAGTTCCGGAGCGGCTGATTGTGCCTCGACTGTCCCTGAATATCTCTCTATTGAGGGAACAGAACCCGCCCCCACACATTATCCAATCACAGCACGGCGTGTCTCCCATCTCAGATGTCCGGCTGGGGAGACGTCATCGGAGCGGGCCGGAAGTAGCTGTCAGCTGGAGGTAGTCACGTGGGGTGCAGAAATGTGTGAGATGAAGGAGAGAGAGAGAACCGGGAACTGAGGAGAGACGAGCCCGAAGGAGGTGAGGGGGAGATGAAATGAGAGAAGGAACCGGAGGGGAGTTGGGGGGAGATGATGGAGAAGGAACCGAGGGGGAGGGGAAGAGATGATGGAGAGAGGAACCGGAGGGGAGGGGGAGATGATGGAGAGAGGAACCGGAGGGAGGGGGAGATGATGGAGAAGGAACCCGAGGGGAGGGGGAGATGATGGAGAGAGGAACCCGAGGGGAGGGTGAGATGATGGAGAGAGGAACCGGAGGGGAGGGGGAGATGATGGGAGAGGAGGGAAGGGTTAGATGATGGTGGCGATGATGAAGAGAGGAGACCAAGGTGAGAGATGGGGAGATGATGATGGTGGAGGTGATGATGATGGATGGAGAGGATGATGGAGGTGGATGAAGGAGACTATGGAGAAGGAGAGGATAATGATGGAGGGGATGTTGGAGGAGATGAGGAAGGATGGAGGAGATGAAATGAACGAGAGGATGATAGAGAACACGGCTCTCCATACCTTCCCTCCATCCAGGCTCAGACGATGGTCGGGTGAAGTTGGGTTTTATTATGGACTATTTGTGTCTTTGTTGGCAGGTTGGGGCAGAGATGTATGAAATGCCGGGGAAATCCTCCGCCGTCCTCATCATCCGTGTCGGAGACGCCTTCTGCAGGTCAGTGACCATGGAAGTCTATTCCTACATACAAGGAGAGCTCCGCCCCCTCCTGAGCCTGGCGGCCGGAGCTCATCTGACTGTTCATTTGGAGTAAAGAATATCTCTCCTTCAGATGTTCTAATAAAAAGACCAGAAATGGATCAACTGTACAGGACCCCGGATCTGGAGGATGGAAATTGCTGAAGAAGGCACTTCTACACCTCTATGGCACCTCTACTGCACCTCTACCGCACCGCTACCACACACCTTTACCGCGCCCCCCGCTACCGCACCGCTACCACACACCTCTACCGTGCACTGCTACCACACACCGCTACCGCACCTCTATCACGCCGCTACCACACACCTCTCTACCGCACACCTCTACCGCACCGCTACCGCAACCTCTATCACGCCGCTACCACACCTCTACCGCACTGCTACTGCACTACCGCACTGCCTCCGCACCGCTTCCGCAGTAGTAGAGGTATAGTAGTGCTGGGTGTAGTAGCGGTGTCTACTTCAGGGATTTCCATCTTCCAGGGACATCAGCCAGGTATGGTTTCCTTTGCTCTCAGAGGTCAGGGGTCAGAGGTCAGGGTAGCAGCTCGGGGTCGGTTCTTCCATCAGACTTGCTGAGCTGTGAAACAGAGGAAAACAAATGACAACCCGCATACAGCGACCCAGCCAATCAAATCGCTGACCATCTCTAGAGATGCAGAGCTCCTCCCTTCAACCATTCTCTGATCAGTAATACGCGGACAGGAGACCCCCCAAGTCCAGCCTCCCTCTACAGTCCAGGCGGAGGTCCCAGCACTGGGGGGTAGGGGGGGCTGGCCCCCCTCTCTGCACACAGTGGAGGAACAGTCCTTCAGGAAGACATTTATTGGATGCTACAAGGAATGATCCTGATTGGAAAATAAGTCATTTTGTGGAGGGGGGGGGGTAAAAATTGTGGAAACATCGGTGTGTCAGTAAGATACCAAAGCAGCAAATGTCTCTTTTCAGGTCGTGCTTCAGAGAATACTTTGTACACAAATTCCGGGCCATGCTGGGCAAGAACAGAGCGGTGTTCCCTGGGGAGAAGGTGAGCGGGGTGGAAGGGGAGGGGTGAGACCCCCGGTCAGTGTTGGTTGGAGGGGAGAAGGTGAGCGGGGAGGGGATGGTGGTGGTTGGGGGGGGGGGGGGTGAGACCCCCTGTCGTTGTGGGATGGAGAGGGGGGAGGGGTGAGACCCCCTGTCGGTGTGGGATGGAGAGGGGGGAGGGGTGAGACCCCCTGTCGGTGTGGGACCCCCTGTCGGTGTGGGATGGAGGGGGGGAGGGGTGTTGGCACCAGAGGTTGTATACAAATGGCGAGTAGTTTGCAGTTGTGCCGCCGGTGCATGTCTGGGGCCCAATCACCGATGTCGGGGTCCAGGTTCCATCTCCGCCTCCTGGCTGTACAATGAGTGGGAATGTTGCATGAAGTATCGGATCCTCCAGAACATGAAGATGGTTCTGGGTGGTTCTGTGACGGTCCGATTCCAAGTTCTTTATCTGTCTTTCAGGTTCTGTTGGCATATTCTGGAGGGCCGTCATCCAGCGCCATGATCCAGCAGATCCGAGAGGTAAAACTGCCTTGCAAACCATGAAGTACCGAAGATATTATTCCTCCAAGGAATCTGGGCTTCCCGGTCCCCCCTCGCCGCCCCCTTCCCGGTCCCCCCTCGCCGCCCCCCCCTCGCCGCCCCCTTGCCTCCCCCTTCCCGGTCCCCCTCGCCGCCCCCTTCCCGGTCCCCCTCGCCGCCCCCTTCCCGGTCCCCCTCGCCGCCACCCCTTCCGGTCCCCCTCTCGCCTCCCCCTTCCCGGTGCCCCTCGCCTCCCCCTTCCCGGTGCCCCTCGCCTCCCCCTTCCCGGTGCCCCTCGCCTCCCCCCTTCCCGGTGCCCCTCCCTCGCCTCCCCTTCCCGGTGCCCCTCGCCTCCCCCTTCCCGGTCCCCCCCTCGCCTCCCTTCCCTTCCCGTCCCCCTCGCCACCCATGTACTGTATGCCGCTGCAGAGTGGCGCTACCCTCGCCACTCCTTGTCCCCCCTCTGTATTTTGTATTCGGCTGACCATTGTTTTGTATCTTCCAGGGACTGAGCCGGGACGCTCCCAAGAAGCTGCGTTTTATACCCGCCATTGTTTTCATTGATGGTGAGTCGGTGGTGTATTGTAGATCTCTCATGTGGGAGCGGATTTATGTCCTCGGGCCGATGTCCTGCTGGGTGGAGTTCAGATCTCAGAATATAAAGTGACGGATATTAATGTTTCTCTTGGCTGATCTCGTCTCCCGTAAATCCTCCAAATACAATGTAGGGAGAGCTCAGAAGAGGAGTCACAAGACTCTTCTTAGTTTCAGGTAAAATACAACCATCTCCCCGTCTGGTTTTGTAGTCCAGCAGTCTGGCAGATACATGATGTGAAGAGTGGAGGAAGTGAGCCGAATCCCCCCATCGGGGTCACTGGCGGCAATGCCTGCACTTCTGGTGGGGTGGGGGAGGGTTGGATTGTTGTAAGATTTCCTTCACGCTGTCACTGGGATGGAGGGAGAGATTTCCAGCGTTGATGCTGAATGACTAGAAGTCCAATTCGGATTGTTGTGTATCCGAGTGTCTGCGATACGATGACCCCTCCAACCCCAACACTACAGACGTCTTCTCTCCTGTCTCCTGTAGAGGGCGCAGTCCCCTGCGGTCAGAGCTGGAGGACCGGGAGCGGGTCAGGTGGGAAATGGAGAGCATCCCTAAAAGCCACCCGCATTCCCATTTCATGTCTTGTCCCTGGAGCAGGTAAGTCAGAATCCCCCCCTCCCCCCCCACCTCCATACATATCGTATTCACTCCCTCCATCCCCCTCCCCCCCCTCCATACATGTCGTATCCTCCCTCCATCCCCCTCCCCCCCCATACATGTCGTATCCTCCCTCCATCCCCCTCCCCCCCCATACATGTCGTATCCTCCCTCCACCCCCCCCCCCCCCCCATACATGTCGTATCCTCCCTCCACCCCCTCCCCCCTCCATACATGTCGTATCCTCCCTCCACCCCCCTCCCCCCTCCCATACATGTCGTATTCTCCCTCCATCCCCCCCCCCCCCCCCCATACATGTTTGTATCCTCCCTCCACCCCCCTTCCCCCCCTCCATACATGTCGTATTCTCCCTCCCATCCCCCCCCCCCCCCCCATCACATGTTCGTATCCTCCCACCACCCCCCTTCCCCCCCTCCCCATACATGTCGTATTCTCCCTCCATCCCCCCCCCCCCCCCATACATGTCGTATCCTCCCTCCATCCCCCCCCCCCCAATACATGTCGTATCCTCCCTCCATCCCCCTACTCCCCCCCCCCCCCCCCATACATGTCGTATCCAGCCCTCCATCCCCTCCCCCCCCCCCCCCCCCCATAACATGTCGTATCCTCCCTCCATCACCCCACCCCCCCCCACTACCCCCCATACATGTCGTATCCTCCCTCCATCCCCCCCCCCCCCCCCCCCCCATACATGTCGTATCCTCCCTCCATCCCCCTCCCCCCCCCATACATGTCGTATACCTCCCTCCATACATGTCGCATCCTCCCTCCATCCCCCTTCCCCCCCCATACATGTCGTATCCTCCCTCCATACATGTCGCATCCTCCCTCCATCCCTCCCCCTCCCCCCCCAATACATGTGTCGCATCCCTCCCCTCCATCCTCCCTCCACAAGGTCGCATGCCCCTCCCCCATCCCCCTCCCCCCACCATACATGTCGTATCCTCCCTCCATCCCCCTCCCCCCCCATACATGTCGTATCCTCCCTCCATCCCCCTCCCCCCCCATACATGTCGCATCCTCCCTCCATTTCCCCCCCCCCACCATACATGTCGTATCCTCCCTCTATCCCCTCCTATCCCCTCCACACCCCCATACATGTCGTAATCCTCCCCCCACCCCCATACATATTGTATCCTCCCTCCACCCCCCCCACCCCCATACATGTCATATCCTCCCTCCATCCCCCACCTGGTTTTACTTGTAGCTGTACTTTTGATTTTATTGCAGCTTTTTCTCTCTGCCGGGATCCGTGCTTCAGACAAATCTCCCTCAGCGGGAAGGGAACTACAAGCAGGCGGTGGGCAGATTCATGGGACAGCAGAGAGCGCAGACGGGGGGCGGGATATCCACGGGACAGCCACAGAGCGCAGACGGGGGGGGAAGGATATCCACGGGAACAGCACAGAGCGCAGACGGGGGAAGGGATATCCACGGGACAGCACAGAGCGCAGACGGGGGACGGGATATCCACGGGACAGCACAGAGCGCAGACGGGGAAGGGATATCCACGGGACAGCACAGAGCGCAGACGGGGGAAGAGGGATATCCACGGGACAGCAGAGAGCGCAGACGGGGGAAGGGATATCCACGGGACAGCACTCAGAGCGCCAGACGGGGGAAGGGATATCCACGGGACAGCACAGAGAGGACGGGATAATCCACGGGACAGCACAGAGAGGACGGGATATCCACGGGACAGCACAGAGCGCAGACAGAGGACGGGATATCCACGGGACAGCACAGAGCGCAGACAGGGGACGGGATATCCACGGGGACAGCACAGAGCGCAGACGGGGGACGGGATATCCACGGGACAGCACAGAGCGCAGACAGAGGACGGGGATATCTGATGCTGCTGACAGACTGGCACTGATTCACACTGCAGACCCCCAATCCACAGAATGCAGCCAATTTCCAGCATTCAGCCCGCCCCCCTGCAGAGCACACCGCAGCACTGAGGGACTTGTTTCAACTCTGCCAGATCACTGACAGCCAAGCAGGAGCTGCTGCATTCCCTCCGGTAAGCTGCAAAGATTCAAACAATATTATTATACAGGATGGCGTCATGACGTCACAATATATTATTATACAGGATTTTATGGTTGCCAACAGTTTGCTCAGCGCTTTACAATATAACGGGAGACAATACAGCAACAATACAGTTCAATACAAGAGGGATAGGAGGGCCTGATCCTGGGAGCTTACAATCTAGGAGGGAGGGGCTGATCCTGGGAGCTTTGTCTTGGAAATTCGCTTTCAATGAATTTTCCTTACCGTGAGTGCCCGCAGTTGGATGCGCAGAAAATCCCCCATAAAGCTGTGCGAACTTAGCTGCAACCGTATTGCGCCCTTCATTTACCGTGACTGCAGCTTAGCTCCGCGATTCCTGCGCCTCCAACCGGTGTGCAAAGGTTTAGCTTTTTTGAGATGTGGGAAATGGAGCTCCAGTAATCCAGGAATAAATCAAACGATACTCCCAGGTTGAACTTGGAATCCACTCTGCCCGGGTCTAACACCAGACTCCTGTTTTATTATCTTACAAAAACACACCCCCCGCAAGGGGGCCAAGTCAATCCCCTCCCACAGAACAATGTATAGCGAGGTGTCCATACACGAGAATGTCCATCCTGCTCGGAGTGCAAAGTTCCCGCTTAACCAGTTAAACCAGTTTTTCTGTCCTCCTTTGGAGAGCGAGTTTCCCATCCTTTACATGTTATCAGCTCCTAGCAGTATGTTCACTCTGTACAAGCATCCCTTAGATTAAACAGTGCCAGTCTGTATCTGGGATGGGCCCGATACGATCTTTATTAAAACACATCCATCCAAGATACAGTTCAGGTCGGTAATGGGTTGTAAGATATCCATGAGCCTACACGCGGAGTTCTCACTGCCTGGCGCCTGGCCATACGAAGTCCATGTGGTACTATGCTGCTGATATGTGGATACAGGCCCGCGGTCTACTGCCGGCGGCATTGGCAATGGAATGGTGGTATACACGCCCGGTCTATAGGCGCAGATCTGCCATCTCATCCATTACCGAGCTGAGTACTGTAATACATACATTGTACATGGATGGCCCAATTGCAGCCTTCAGAGCTTTCATTATACACACCAGAGACATATGAATAACATGAATATATGACACATTTAAAGTTCAACCTGTAATAGAAAATTTCCATGACCGCTTACAATCTAGGAGGGAGGGGCTGATCCTGGGAGCTTACAATCTAGGAGGGAGGGGCTGATCCTGGGAGTTTACAATCTAGGAGGAGGGGCTGGTGTGGTACAAAAGGTAGTACACTGTGGGGGATGGACTGGTAGAAGGAATAGAAGATTCCAGTATTAGCTGAGGGAAGGATAGGCTTCCCTGAAGAGATCGCCTAAAAGTGAGCAGAGTAGGCGATAGTCTGATAAATTGGGGTAGAGAGTTCCAGAGGATGGGTGACGCCCTGGAGAAGTCCTGCAGACGAGCATGGGAGGAGGAGACAAGGGAGCTAGAGAGTAGGCGGTTGTGGGAGGAGCATAGAGGGCGGTTTGGGTGATATTTAGAGACGAGATCGGTGATGTAATTTGGGGCGGAGTTATAAATGGCTTCATATGTGATTGTTAATGTTTTGAGTTTTCTCAGAATGTCCTCAGATTATAGACAGTTCAATACAAACATCAATAATTTACTCCAGACTGTCTCAACCTTTTCAACTCAGAGGAACACTTGACATGTCTGGTCTCGGGGAACCCCGCCTACAAATGGACTATCTCCAACTCCTGGAACACATTAGTGTGATGGTCGTGGTGGCTGGCAAGAACGCTCCTCACTCACACTTTCTAGTCATTGGGGAGAATGACCCCCTTACAGCTAAAAAGATCAATGGTGTCAAGAGGGAACTTACCTGAGAGCCAGGAAACCCCCACAACCTCTGAGGAAGGAACCCTGATTTACTCTGAGATTTCCAATATGTAGTTCATCATTGGGAGCTGCTCTCATCCGCCCGCCATATGTGCAAAAGGATCCCTGGAGAAACATCCGCTGCTGGACAAACCTGCACACCATAGAAGGATGGGCAGATCCAGCGGGCTGCGGAGCGGCCATCTCTGCTGGGCAGATCCAGCGGGCTGCTGGAGCGGCCGGCCATCTCTGCTGGGCAGATCCAGCGGGCTGCGGGGCGGCCATCTCTGCTGGGCAGATCCAGCGGGCTGCGGGGCTAGGCCATCACTGCTGGGCAAGATCCAGCGGGCTGCGGGGCGGCCATCTCTGCTGGGCAGATCCAGCGGGCTGCGGGGCGGCCATCTCTGCTGGGCAGATCCAGCGGGGCTGCGGGGGCGGCCATCTCTGCTGGGCAGAGATCCAGCGTGGGCTGCGGGGCAGGCCATCTCTGCTGGGCAGATCCAGCGGGCCCCTGCGGGGCGGCCATCCTGCGCTGGGCAGACCCAGCGGGCCTGCGGGGCGGCCATCTCTGAGGAAAAGGAAGACTGGGGGAGGGGGGGGGTTTGTCGGATAATTAATGGATTACATGATACATAAAGATATTTTTGGTTTTCTAGTTCTGGTGTATTTTCTGTTGTTCAGCAAAACCACTTGGTTTTGCCAACGTGGCGGCCACCCCTCCCCGGGGCGGGACACACGGGTACTCCAAGGTGATGAGCGGGGAATGCTGCACGCGCCTGGGCGTCCGTCTGCCCTCAGCAATATTTCGTTGGGTCTCCATGCACGATGGAGCCTTCCTGCCATTCCTAGATACAGTAAGTGTATTGTATGGGACTGCGAGAGGAGAACGTCACAAGGACCTCTCTGTGGGCTTTTCCTCTGTGACACGGAGAAGACATTTTGAACCCTCTGCCAAATATTAGGCAATACGGACAATTTCCTACAGAAACAAAGAATACGTGTATTGGCATGCAGAGATCAGGAAGAGCGAGCGAGTAAAACACTTAAACTGTTCTAAGAGAGAGTGGGCCGGTATCTGTTCAAGTCCCCAGTCCGGTCCCAGAATTCCTCACCCCAGAGGAACCCATTACCAATCATTTTTAGGTCTTGGGGAAATCCCTGCTGAAACCAGTTGCTCATTGGTGGTCTATGGGAAGAAGGCCACCCATTACAGACCACTATAGAGATCATTGGGGTCATGCAGTGACTGTACCAATAAACATCGACCATCGAATGGGGAGGCCAGTCAGCCACAGCTAATTGGAGGTACCCTAGGAGTCCACAGACCCCTGGATGGGAGCGGCTGGTCTGATGCACAGCTGGAAAACGGGGAACTCCCTGGCAATGGGAGTGGCTGGTCTGACCCCTGCACGGGAACCGGGGACTCCCTGGAAGGTGGAGAGTGGCTGGTCTGATGCAGGGGGAACCGTGGACTCCCTGGATGGGAGTGGCTGGTCTGATGCAGCGGGGGAACCGGGGACTCCCTGGATGGGAGTGGCTGGTCTGATGCAGGGGAACCGGGGGACTCCCTGGATGCAAGGGGAGTGGGCTGGTCTGATGCAGGGGAACCGGGGACTCCCTGGATGGAGTGGCTGGGTCTGATGCAACGAGAAACCGCGGACTCCCTGGATGGGAGCGGCTGGTCTGATGCAGGGGAACCGCGGACTCCCTGGATGGGAGTGGCTGGTCTGATGCACGGGAACCGTGGACTCCCTGGATGGGAGTGGCTGGTCTGATGCAGGGGAACCGCGGACTCCCTGGATGGGAGTGGCTGGTCTGATGCACGAGAACCGCGGACTCCCTGGATGGGAGCGGCTGGTCTGATGCAGGGGAACCGCGGACTCCCTGGATGGGAGCGGCTGGTCTTGATGCAGGGGAACCGCGGACTCCCTGGATGAAGAGCGGCTGGTCTGATGCAGGGGAACCGCGGACTCCCTGGGATGGGAGCGGCTGGTCTGATGCAGGGGAACCGCGGACTCCCTGGATGAGAGCGGCTGGTCTGAATGCAGGGGAACCGCGGACTTCCTGGATGGGAGCGGCTGGTCTGATGCAGGGGGAACCGCGGACTCCCTGGATGGGAGCGGCTGGTCTGATGCAGGAGAACGCGGACTCCCTGGATGAGCGGCTGGTCTGATGCAGGGGAACCACGGACTGGAGCTTAACACAGGGCAAGGGTGAGCAAACACAGAAACTGAAATTCGGATCCCGGATGTGAGGGCGGCTTTAGTGGTACTGCGCATTAAATAAAAAGTAGAGAAATATTCCTCCCTTCCCATTTCCGTGTCTCTGCAATTCTAATGGTTCGATGATCTGTGATGTTACCTGACGAGTGGTGGTGGTTGGGGGGGGGGGGGGAAGGGGGTTCCTGAGGTGTGGGGGGGGGGGGGGGGGGAAAGGGGTCTCCCTGACGATGTGGTGGGGGGGGGGGTTTGGAAGGGGGTCTCCCTGACGAGTGGTGGTTGGTGGGGGGGAGGGGGTCTCCCTGACCAGTGGTGGGGGGGAGGGGAAGGGGGTCTCCCCTGACGAGTGGGGGGAGGGGGTCTCCCTGACGAGTGGGGGGAGGGGGTCTCCCTGACGAGTGGGGGGAGGGGGTCTCCCTGACGAGTGGGGGGAAGGGGTCTCCCTGACGAGTGGGGGGAGGGGGTCTCCCTGACGAGTGGTGGGGGGGAGGAGGGGGGGGAAGGGGGTCTCCCTGACGAGTG